TTTCTCTCATAGTGAATCTGCTATTTGTGTTAAAGAAGGCTATTGAATTTTGAGTGTTGACCTTGTATCTAACTACTCCGCTGAATCTGTCAATTAAGTGTAGATGTCTTTTATTGGAGTTTTTTGGGGTCTTCTATGTAGAGTATCATGTCATCAGCAAATAATGACAGTTTAAATTCTTCCTTTCCTATTATTATTATTATTCCTTTTATTTCTTTCTCTTGTCTAATTGCTGTGGCTAATGTTTCCATAATTATATTGAACAGGAGTGGTGGTGATAATGGACCTCCTTGTCTTGTTCCTGATTTTAGTGTGAAGGATTTCAGTTTTTGACCATTTAGTATGATATTGGCTGTTGGTTTTCCATAGATGGTTTTTATCAGATTGAGGTAGAGACAGTCCAATTTTCATAGGTTTTTTATCATAAATGAGTGTTGGATTTTGTCAAATGCTTTTTCTGCATCTATTGAGATGATCATATGGTCTTTGTCCTTGGCTCTACTAATATGGTGTAGTACATTTGTTGATTTGTGTATGTTGAACCATTCTTGCATCCCTGGGAAATATCCCACTTGGTCAGGGTGTATGATCTTCTTGATGATCCTCTGTATTCAGCTTGTCAGTATCTTATTGAGGATTGTTACATCTATGTTCATTGTGGAGATTGGCCTGTAGTTCTCTTTTTTGGTTGGGTCTTTCTCTGCTTTTGGAATCAAAGTAGTGCTTGCTTCCAGGAATTAATTTGGGAATATTGCTTCCTTTTCAATTTTATTAAAGAGTTTGAGAAGTAGTGGAATTAGCTCTTCCCTTAATTTCTTTTAGAATTCAGCAATGAAGCCATCAGGACCTGGGCTTTTCTTTGTTGGTAAATTTTTAATTATGTTTTCAATTTCACTGATTGAAATTGGAGTCTTTAGAATTTTTATATCTTCTTCCTTCAACTTTGGTAATTCATATATATCTAGGAATCTGTTGATTTCTTCTGTGTTTTCCATTTTATTGGAGTACATGTTCTCAAAGTAGGTATTGATAATCCTCTGGATTTCTGCTGGATCTGTTGTGATTTCACCCTTTTCATTCCTAATTGCATGGATTTGAGTCTTTTTCTTTCCTGTTCTTGAAAGGTTGGTTAAGGGTTTGTCAATTTTATTTATTGTTTCAAAGAAACAACTCTTGGCTTCATTGATTTTTTGTATTGTTCTCTTAGACTCCATTGCATTGTTTTCTGCTCTGATCTTTATAGTTTCCTCCCTTGTACAAGCTTTTGGCTGGACTTACTTTTCTTTTTGTGGGAGCTTGAGGTTCTGCATTAGGTTGTTTATTCGAGCTCATTCTGTTTTCCTAGTATGGGTATTCACGGCTGTGAATTTCCCTCATAGAACTGCTTTCATTGTGCCCCATAGATTCCTGTACATTGTATTGGCATTGTGATTTAATTGTACAAACTGTCTAATTTTTTCTTTAATTTCCTCTGTGGCCAGTTGTTCAGGAGAGTGTTATTCAATTTCCATGTGTTTGTGAAGTTCTTGCAGTTTCTTATGCTATTGATCTCCAATTTAATTGCACTATAGTCTGATAATATAGAGAGGATAATTTCAATTTTTTTTTGCATTTACTTAAACATGTTCTGTGAGCTAGCATCTGGTCTGCTTTGGAAAATGATCCATGTGCAGCTGAAAATAATGTGTGTTCTGATATTGTGGGGTGGAATGCTCTGTAGACATCTATTAAGTCCATTTGTTCAAAAGTTTGGTTCAGTTCTAGTATTTCATTGTTGTTTTTCTGTCTAGATGATCTATCTATTTGTGGCAGTGTGGTATTGAGGTCCCCCACAACAATTATATTAGTGTTTATTTGATTTTTCATGTCCATTAATATTTGTTTTATATAGTTGGGTGCACTAGTATTTGGTGCATACATATTTGTGTTTATCATGTCTTCCTCTTGGATTGTTCCCTTTACAAGGATGTAGTGACCTTCTTTGTCTTTCTTAATTAGTTTTGCTTTTAAATATACTTTGTCTGCAAATAAGATAGCTACCCCTGCTTTTTTCTAGGTTCCTGTTGTATGGAGAACTGCTTTCCATCCTTATACTTTCAGTCTATGAAATAAGAGTGTTTCTTGTATACCGTGTAACGTTGAATTTTGCTTCTCCATGCATTCTGCCAGTCTATTTCTTTTGATTGGTCTATTTCTGCCAGTCTATTTCTTTTGATTGATTCTTTTGATTTCTTTTGAATGGTGGCCATTAACATTGATAGTTATAACTGATGTGTATTAACTTTTTCTTGTCATGATATTTTCCTGTTGTTGGCACTTTTATTTTTTGTTTTCTCCCTTTTTCTTTTAATTTCTTGCCCTGCCTGTTGGCTTCACTCTGATGGGTCTCATGGAGTTGTGACCCTCATTGTTTTTTTCTAGGATATTGTTTAGGATTTTTTTGAGTCCTGGTTTGGTATTTATGAAGTTTCTCAGGTGGTCTTTGTTGTGGAAGTATCTTATTTCCCATCGATTTTGAAAGATAATTTTGCAGGATACATCCATCTAGCTTGGAGGTTATTTTCTTTTAGGGCTTGAAATACTTCACTCCAGGCTTTCCTTGACTTGAGGTTTGATTGAAAAGTCTGCTGTGATTCTGATGGGCTGTACTTTGTATGCGATTTGTTTCTTTTCTCTAACTGCTTGTAGGATTTTGTTCTTCTGTTGGGTTTCTGGGATCTTGACTATTATATGTCTAGGTGTAGATTTTTTTTTTTTAATCATGGCTAGTTGAAGTCCTTATGACTCACTTAGCTATATGTCAAATTATTTTTCTCTGCTTGGGAAGTTTTCTGCCACTACTTCTGTGAACAGATTTTTTTTTAATGTCAATTGTACTTTCTCCCGTTTTTTTGTGGACTCCTATCAGTCTTGTTATTCTTCTTTAAGTCATTTAGCAGCTGCCCAACCGATTTCTTATGGATCCTTACTATATTCAAGATATCACTCTTTTCATGGTCGCTAATTCCAATCTGTCTTCTATATCTGATATTTTGTCTTCATATTGGCTCATTCAACTGTGAATACTTGCAATAGAGGTGGTTTTTTTTGTGGAGTCAAATATTTACTTTAATATTTTACCAAAAAATCATATTAAAAACAAAATTTTTGTACATAGGTAAGAGGTCAAAAATCAGAAAACTAGGTCAAGTACAATTTGCATACATTTTGGCTGGCCAGAATATTAAAAAAATTAGGTAGACTCTTCTTCAGGATTACAGTCCTTAAACATTCTGCAAACCTTACCTGTTTGTCCCTGAAGTTTTTGAATGCTGAATTAATTTTTTGCATTTTGTGTAGAATAAATTCAGTTGAACTACTAAGCAGGAACTCATTTTGGAAATTTCAAAAATATTTTTACCATGTCGTTCCACCCCTCTGTATTTTATCTTTTTTCTTTGAATTTGACTTTATCTTACTAGAAGGTAGGTGGGTTATGAGGAAAGAATAAAATTATGGTACCACTGTCACTTTTGTACAGTAAATACTGATGGTATTTTACCAAATGCTCTCACAGATTCATCTTTCTATACTTGGGTTTGTTTCCTTAATATACTCCACATGTACAACTCAGTGAAACCCAAAAATACTGCTGGGTCCTACTACTGGCTACTAGTGCTAGAATCACTAGTTATGAGGTTCTAAATACATGAAAAATGCTCCAAGGAAATAATAGTGTGTTAAGTTCTTAGGTCTTGATTACTTAAGGTAGATGAGGAATTAATCTTCTTTTTAAAGATCATTGCACTGTTTGAATTAAAATTCATTCTTTAAATTCCCAGTTTTGAATTTCATTGTTTCTCAGAGGGGTAGAAAGCAATTTATCTACAGTAAGTAAAATTGAAAGTGTTTACTTACAACAAACATGCTTTTTTTTTAATACTGCACCTCTGAACGGAGTCCATTCACGCTTTTCTTTTCATTTGAGATAGGGTCTCTCCCAGTAAAGTTGCCCACGCTGGGCTCAAATTTGTGATCCTCCAGGTGCAGCCTCCCAGACTGCTAGGATTATAAGCATGTGCCACCATGCCTAGCTCAAAGATGCACTTTTTAATGTGTGATTCTTGGTTTAAAAACTATACAGAAGAATCCCATGATTTCTGAATATACCTTATATTTTTCATTCTCTGTACCAAACCAGTAATTGTATCATTAAAAAAAAAAAATCAGGGCGGGGGATTTAGCTCAGTGGTTTCGTCGCCTGCTGTGTAAGCCCAAGGACCCAAGTTCGATCTCTGGTACCAAGAAAAAAAAAATCAATTTTATGATTGCCAAAACCTTGATTAGCATTAGCAACTTTGTGGTATCCTGAAAAATAAAAATCAAATGTATTGTTTAAGACTGCATAATGTCAATCTTTTACATACAACCTTATAGGCAATACTGAATAACTTCTTGAAGTCTCTACAGCACTTATGATTAGAATGAGATTAATGAAATAAAAGAGAAAGAAGTTATTGAAGAAGTTGCCCTGAAAACTTTTTTGCTCCCCAGAGCTTTTCAGTTGACTTTTGGATGCATTTACAACAATTATTTTCTAAAGAGTCTTATTTGAGATAGTTTAAAGGTAATTAAGAACAAAACAGGATATGGATAGAGTGAAATGTGTCAGGAAAAGATTATCTCATTAGTAAAAGTTAGCTGACTCCTTGTCTTTAAAACATTAGTCAGCTCAGGCTACAAATAATCCCTCCAAGATCACATTTACCACACATTATTGAGCTCCTGCCATGATGGACCCTGTACCATACAGCAAACATGTCTGCCTTTTTAGTGGGTATAGTTTCACTGGTTTTTCTCAAGAAGCTTGTTTGACTAACAATAACTCAGGATATGCTCTGTGGGAGGAGGGTCCATGTTTGTCTTCTTTACTATATTCTAGCATCTAGCCCAAGGTAAGCCTTTCAATTTGTTAAATAAATACATGCTTATGGGCTTTTATATAACTTTTATTCTATTAATTTTGACAATCTGAATTCATTACATACTAAAAATAATACCATATTTATGCACAAGTAAGTTAATTTTTCCAGTAAGAGCTAATCTTTCTTTAAGAATGTTTCCCACATATTCATAGTACATAATATCACAAAAAACCCATATTTGGCCCACATGTCTCTGAATTGTAGCATTACAAGATGGAAGTTCATTGTGCTTGATAATTTGATTAAGTTGTGCCCAAATGTCTTCCAGAGTTTGGTTGTTACAAATACTATGTTCTATTGTCCAACGTGCTCTATAAAGTGAGTGCAAATTCAGTGCCTTTAAATTATCTTGCAATTTTTTAGACAAAGGAAAAATATTTTCAGTACAATTAGAATCAACAAGTGAAACACTCCATGACCTCCTTTTGTGCCGTTTTCCATTTTCTGATTTTTTAATCCAGATTTCCAGAGGCTATCTGTTCATTCATTGTATGTGACTGGATTAAGTGCTGCTTTTTCAAACTAGGTTGAAACTCCAAGAGATCTACTGTACAATCATAGCTCTGTGATTTAACACTATGTTCTGAAATAGTTAAATACTGTTTCACATCTTCAGCTACCTCTTCAGAAATCACAGGTGGTGATCTTTTAGGTTTGACTGGAAGTTTGGACCCATCATGTAGAAACCAAGGAGTAAATCTTGTTGGTGGACGAGCAGCAAAGTCTTGAATTGCTTTCTCTGCAATTTTTGGTAGTTGTGTGGGTTCACTCTCATATGGTCGATAATGTAGTATTACTTCTGTGGTCATTCTGCAGTAATCCAGTTACTTCTAATGAAGAGAAAATTTCTTCAGAGCTAGAATATAACTTATTATTACAAGATTGTCTTTCTTGTCAAATCAGAGGAAACAGGACCTTTCAACGCCAGCAAGTGCTCCTGTTTGGGGGGGTTCACTTCCATTTTGATGGGCACTTCAGACCTCGAAATAGAGGTTTTAATGTCCTGGATATCTGTTTGAATCTGTTTCATGGATTCCATTTCTTTCCTATGTCGTGCATTCATCATTTCTATTTCTTTCCTATGCTGGGCATTTATGGCTCCCATCAAGGTCCTGAGCTCATCTATGTTTTTATCTGTTTCTGTTCTAGAGTCTCTAATCATGTCTTTCATTCTGCTCACTATCTCTGTAGTTATCTGGGAAATTATTTCTGTTTTGAATTTTTCTAGAACCTTGTTCATCTGTTCTGTTTCCTCTCATGCTATCAGTTCAGGGTGTTCAGGTGGTTGATTATCAGATTTTTCCACCTCGTTGCTCCCAGAATTTGCCTTTGGTGAGCTGGAAGTCAGTTTGGGCCTGTTTTGGTGTCTTTTCATTTCTGTTTTTGTTGTTGGTGCTGTTTTAGGTTTAATTCCTGGTTTGATACTTCAATATTGCTTATTGTAAGTATCTTTATTCCTTGTATTTAGAACCCTTTTGGAATGATTGCTTCTCAGAGGTGTCTTCCAGGTATAGCTGGTCTTTAGGATTTGAGTCTCTAATTACTCTTAGGGAGTCTTGTTTTTGGTATACCAGGAAGGACAACTAATTAGACCAACCTCGACAACTTAGCCCAAGTGATTCAATCAGCATCAACAATAGCATCAAATGCAGCTTAGAAAATAACAATTTGTGGTAGCTATTAATCTGTCACCTTTCACTATGTGAACCAAATCAAAATCAAGGACCAGCCCAAAATATGTTTGTAGCAAATAAACCCTTCAATATAGGAAATTTACCCTTTGAGATGAGGATGTAGAAGAAGTTGGGGAGGGAGGGAAGCAGAGATAGAATGAGAGGGAAAGGTTAGAAGTGAGGCTAGAGGACATAGGAAGATCATGCAAACTTTGGGAAACTATTGAAGACAAGAGGAAAAGACAGAGTGAAGGAACAAAGACCAGAACAGTACAAACTAATAACAATAGGGAAGCTAGAAGCTGGATTTACCTTCCTATAAAAATAAGACAATTGAGAGAAGGAAAGAGAGAAAAAAATCTGATGTAGGACAGGAACGGGAACAAAAAGGGAGAGAAATTAAGAGCAAGAAGGAAGAGAGAGACAAAGAAAGAAAAACAAAAAAAGGGCCTCCTTCTAGGTATGTCTCTGCTGTCACAATAGAAAACACAGCAGCGGGGTGCAGATCTAAGTCGATTAGTCTCAGCAAGCCAGCCATAGTCCCCTGAGATTCACGCTGATTTCTGGCTGCAAGGCACAAGTTGAGCTCCCTGACCTCTTGCAGGATTGAACTCTGAAAGTTTCTACTGCCAGTTTCAGCTGCCCTTCCCCTGAAGCAAGTCCTATTCCCAGATGGGAGGTGGTGATCCCACCAATTTACCAACCACGGTGGTTCAGTGAGCCTTTATTGCAGAGATTTTCTTCACTTTCCCAGTGGGTTTCAATTTTCATCAAGGAGCCTCAGAGAGCCCCTCTGTTGTTCACCTCTGCTCTATCTTCTGGGGCTCATAACCATGGCATTTATGGCCCTGGATGCTTCTGTAGTGTGGATCCAGATACCAGCCCTGCCTCCGGGGGTATGGCCCTCTGTGTGAGTGTGCTGTGGTGGCAGGGGGTGGTTCTGGGCTTTTGGAGGGAAGGGCCACATGCCAGGGCAATGGGAGTGGTGCTGAGCCTCTGCACAGCAGTGCTGGTGCTGGGGCAGAGGAGGCGAGGGTGACATTTCATACATGCCATTTTGTATACGGATTTGGCCATATGAGATTTGGTATTGTGTCAGTCATAGAACCAATCCCTTGTGGATCAAGGGGCAACAGTTTATATCTGGAAAGTTTTACATCCATAACTGTATCTCTATTTTTCTGTCATATGTTTATATCTACCTTCTGTATATACCAAGAGGAATTCACAGCAAAAGATTTGTTAACAACCTGGATCTGTTATGGATTGAGAAGACTCCACATTCTGCTATGCATTTAGCACAAGCACAATTAGATATTATAAATGGCATATTCTCCAAAAGAAATTTCTCATATTCATTTGTGTCCATATTAAGGAAAAAATCCAAACTCCTCAATGAAGTAATTGGTAAAAACCTTTGAGCCAAAAGTCTACTCTGTGTCTGACACTGTCTGGTTTCCTCTCCTCTTAAATCATACAGATTGTTCCTTCTATTTGTCCTGCATCTGTCCTTAGATATTGAGTAATCTCATCAGAGCTCTTGCTATGCATAAGATATCTGTAATTAAAAACAGGTATAAGAAAATACTCCACATTTATTTTTGCACTCTAATCAGCCACAATATTAAGGAAGCTTCAGTACTAAGTAGTGAGTACTAATAATGCTCTGCAAATGTCTTTCTTCCATTACCTGTTATTCTAGAAAGAACTATTCTGCTTGTGTCTCACAGGAGCCTGGGATCATTTGAACTCTCTGGGGTCTGTGGCCAGCTACTCCTATGTTTCACTCTGTTTTCTACAACTATATTTTCCTTTTCAGTTGTCAAATAGGCGATATTCCTCTGGACTAGTTGAATAACTTCCTGATGATACTTCAACTGACAATGATTCTAGAATTTATCTAAAGATGGCAATGAAGATGCCATGACATTACCATGAACATTTCAGCTCAGGATATTTCTGATTAATTCACTGATATGTAGGCTTCCTCTAGGGAAAATGTTTCAATGGTTTTATTATCTCTCCATTCATTTTCTGGTAGCAAGAATGTTTATGATTACCTACCGGGTTCCAGATATTGTATTAGGTGCTGGGCAGTTTGGGTTTTAAAAGGTATTGTCCCTATGACAGAGGCCTTATAAACATGGAGAGAACATCAGTTTAATGTGGTACTGACTGTGCTAATTTTCTTTCATTTATCTGCCCCTGCCATCTATGTTTCCAGTATTCCCAGGGTCCTCTCTCCCTTGTGATCATTCCTCCTTTGTTCTAGCCAGTGAGCTCTTCTCTTCCTGTAATTTTTCAAACATTGGTGAGCTCATCTGTTTTTTCCTCTTGTTTTTCCTTGGACATAATCTCCCAGAGCTCATGTACTCTACCCTGGTGATTAACAGTACGACTTCTATTAAAAGTATCTTTCTTGCATTGGCTAATCGACTGAACATTCATAATTTCCATACCAAATCTTTTATCCCTCTTCTATTGATGTCTCCTACTTCTACTAAAGTTCAGCTGTTAGTCTGGCATTCTCCACCAACCCTTCCCTTATTTCCCATGTGGTGCTAGTGAAAAACCTTGCCAATCTTTTCTTCTTTTTATTTCTCAAAAATTTCTCCCAGTTTTTACTAATTAATAAACACATTAGTTTTTCTATCTTTGGTTCCTTTCTCTTCTTTGGCACATTACCAAAAATCTGTTAGCTCTCCCTGCATTAGTTGCCCTTCCACAATCCTTTCTTCACACCAGCAGCAATCATCAAATATTCCAGGAAACAAAGCAAAAATCTAAAACATGAAATTCTAAAATTTTCATATAGGGACTTCCAGATTTTGACTCTACTTCTCCAGTCTCATTTCATGATTCCATCTCTCCTTGCTCTTGAATTTCCTAACTCCCTGCAACATCCACACATACTCTCATTTCTAAGTCATACTTAACTGGGAACCCATCCTACTAGTCTCCCAGAAAAACACTTCATTTTCTAAAACACTTCATTTCTCCCTTCCTGCGTGTGTACTTTCGCTGCACCTTGCAAATAACTTCATAAAGCACCAAGCTACACTATTGCATTGTCTTTTTGAACATGAGTCATTACCTACTATAATTACAACAGTCAAACTCACCTCCGAGTTCCCAGTACCTAACAGAGGACCTGCTCTGTAGCAAACATTCAATAAAGGTTTATTGACAGAAGAAATGGAGGAATAATAAAAAAACTTTATGTTTATTTAATGTTATTCAATTACATAGTCATATAGTTATAAGCTTTATGTTTGGGGCTACAAATATTTGACCTTCTTAATAAATCCTACCAATTTGTATTCCTTGAACTCTGAAGGAACCATAATTTGAACTTCAGGTTGGGTCTTGCCGGTAAGTAGAGTGGGTACTAAAGAAATTTTTTACTTCCTAGCATCTGAATCCCCTCCTATGTTTCCACTATGGGTCTGAATGGGAGGCATAGCTTGCATCCTACTAAAACCCAGGAAAAAACCATCCAAGACAGACACCAGGGCAGAGACCGAAGCTTGGCCGGCCAGACCAAAATCCTCCTGGCTCCTTAAGTTTAAAGAGTGAAAACAAATCAGGTGTGGGATACACTCATTTGTACAGCAACCACATACACTTCCAGGGCAAATAGGGCAATTTCCTCTCCCATGGCTAAAGCAGCACTACCCTCACATAACAGTTTCTCTGGTACCGGCACTTCCCTGACTTTCATTGTTCCTGCTCATCTCAAATCTCACTTTTAGGCTTTACAGAGTTTCTTTAATCACTCAAGTCTCCTTGATAAATTTGTTTTGCTTCAACTGGCCAGTCAGTTTTTGTTTTTCTTTCAGCTAACAGCATGGAATAATAATATTGATAAGGTTTACTTATGCAAAATTGTTTAAGTGGAAGATTATATGCTAATACATCAAATTAAATTAAAAACAAATGTATTTAGTTCACTGAATGCATTGAGTGCAGCTATGCTAGGTAATGAACATAGAAGGAAAGTGTTTTAATACAACACTGGGGAGCAGACTCTGTGGGGGCAGTGACATATGTAATTTATGGGCAATAACTATTGCTTTGCCTTTAGATATTTATCTCCTTTACATGCCTTCCCCAGGTGTCACCTGAAAGGGGAATGGTAGACAGCTAATGAAAGTGTTCTCAGTGGTATTATTTGCAGCCCTGAGAATAAGGAATGGAGCAATTGTCTACAATCATAACCAGATGTTGCAAAGCTGTATAAGCCTTAATGGCTGTTGTTTTAATACAGCTTTTTAAAGGGGAAAAATCAATAATACTAAAACAAATTATG